GGACCAGTAAAGACAAACGTTTCACTGTTTAAAGGCGAAGACTGTCACAGCAATGTTCTTGTAAATACGTCTGGGATGACAGTCGATTACAGAACTAAAAGCACCAACGCCAAATCGTTCAATATAAAAACAGCAGGTTTGAGAAAAAAACAGCAGGTTTGAGAAAATAACAGCGGCTTCCAGACTTTAAGTGTTTCATAATCACGAGCTGATTGTCTTGTGATCTGACGGATGACAGCGATTCTGTCACGTTGTGTTTCAGCTGCAGCAGAAACACGGCTCATGAAACGTGAATCTAATCCAACAGGAAGTGGCGTTTCACCGCTTAGCAAAAGAGCACAGTTCTATTTATTTAGTGTCCAGATATTTTGCCCAGAAAGATAGAATTTCACCTGAATCAACTTTGAAACTTGGTGTTTTCAGAAAGTCCTTTCCCCACAGACCTCGTCATGAAGCTGTGAGATTCCTCTTTTTTGAATAATGTCAGGAGTCGAACTCCTTTTGGTCGAGGCCGGATTAAAAACGTAAAAACCGTGTTTAAAGAATTCGCAGAGCAACAGCAGCAGTATAATAATTTAATTTTTTTATATTTGAGTGATGCACTAAGAGGCAAGGCTGTAGTGTTGTAGTGTCCAACACAAATGTGAGGCGTGTTCATTTTGGCCCAATAATAAAAGTGATTTTTTGACAAAAGATACATTTTACAAAAAAAACCATAAAAAACTCCCCAGAATAATACGGCAAGAAAACTCAAACTAACACTAACATCAATGCAGCGAGTTATTCCTGATCATTGAAGATCCCAGGGGCCAATGATAATGGTCTGACGGCCGCATCTGGACCCCAGGCCTCGAGTTTGTTTCAATCTACTTTTTCTTCCAGTTTGAGGTGTTCGTCTCCTGGATGTGTTTGGACGGAACATGTTTTGTGTGATTTTGTCATGTTTTTCGATGACCGCAGACTGTGGTCCGAGCGCTGACGAAGGTCCTGTCAATGGAGCTGTTTTTAGATCCATCCACGCTACTGTCAGGAACTCCTAGAAACTTCTGCAACTCCTCCCCTTCCTGTCCAGTCCTGTAATAGTATGACATCACTGTACCATAATGACGTCACTGTACCATTATGATGTCACTGTACCATTATGACGTCACTGTACCATAATGACGTCACTGTACCATTATGATGTCACTGTACCATTATGATGTCACTGTACCATTATGATGTCACTGTACCATTATGACGTCACTGTACCATAATGACGTCACTGTACCATTATGACGTCACTGTACCATTATGATGTCACTGTACCATTATGATGTCACTGTATCATTATGATGTCACTGTACCATTATAATGTCACTGTACCATTATGATGTCACTGTACCATTATGATGTCACTGTACCATTATGACGTCACTGTACCATTATGATGTCACTGTACCATTATGATGTCACTGTACCATTATGATGTCACTGTATCATTATGACGTCACTGTACCATTATGACGTCACTGTACCATTATGATGTCACTGTACCATTATGATGTCACTGTATCATTATGATGTCACTGTATCATTATGATGTCACTGTACCATTATGACGTCACTGTACCATTATGATGTCACTGTACCATTATGATGTCACTGTACCATTATGACGTCACTGTACCATTATGATGTCACTGTACCATTATGATGTCACTGTACCATTATGATGTCACTGTATCATTATGACGTCACTGTACCATTATGATGTCACTGTACCATTATGATGTCACTGTACCATTATGATGTCACTGTATCATTATGATGTCACTGTACCATTATGATGTCACTGTACCATTATGATGTCACTGTATCATTATGACGTCACTGTACCATTATGACGTCACTGTACCATTATGACGTCACTGTATCATTATGATGTCACTGTACCATTATGACGTCACTGTACCATAAAGCACGTTTTACCCTTCATACAAAAACAACCATATTTCTTTAACGTGGACCTACAGGATTATAGTGTGGATGGGAATGTATATGAGGTGAACAGGAGTCTGTCCTAGTCCGGTGCGCACTGGAGACATTAGCACATGTATTCCAATGGGGTTTTACTGCGTATACTGTAAACTGGATGAATCTGCACAGATGTGTAAACACAGCTAAGTTTCTGGTTAAATGCATCCCTCCACCTTCTCTCTTTCTCCAGTTTGTCCTAGTTTGCCGAGATCCTTGCAGACCCGATCTGGCTGCCAGCTCTAAGAACATGTTAATTGATTTTCCTGAATCGCCGACTGGTGGGAAGCATCTACTTCACAGTGCAGCAGAAGTGCAAGTGGTTGTTTCGTATCCATCTCAAATCCCCAAACGGCGGTCTGCGTACCAAGAGACAAAAACGCACCAACAAAATAAAGCAGAAATCAATGGATGTTGGAGGCTGTGAGCCCGGGGTGAGCTTCCCACAGTGGATGGCCTGTTGACGGAGCCATTGAAGTGCCTCACATATGGGTCTCCACCGCCTCCAGGGCACTCTCTCTGCCTTTCTCACAACTCTTTGGTTGTTTAACTTCTGTCGAGAGGCCGTATATTGCAACGGAGTGTTTTCAAAGTGTTCACGCTAAAGTGCTCTACAGATTGGAGCACAGTTTTACGGCTGTTGAGATCCCGTTGTTATCGCTGCGGCAAAGTTCAGTGGTGTTAGAAGAAGAAGTGTTAGTGTGAGTTATGATCGTGTTCGGACGCTTCGCAAACAAACTGTTCACAATCAACAACTTTGTAATGAGTCAGGAGTTCAGAGTTAGGTCAGAGCTTCAAAGATAATCATCTGTTTCCACCTCTGTCAGTCATTCTACACTGTCCTCTCGCATTTGTTTATTTTTATCTAGATTCTTTCTCCTTTCTTTTCTCTTGTCACAGTGACAAACAGGAACAGGACCTTTCCCACGGACAGCATCAGGAGCAACAGAGAAGAGAAGAAACAAGATCTACAATTTAACCTCTACTTTTAACTGACACAGATTAATATAGCAGATTATGGCAGATTATAGTACTCACTAGTACCTGACGAATACTCACTAGTACCTCACGAGTACTCACTAATAGGAAAGGCAAGGCAAGGTAAGTTTATTTGTATAGCACAACTCAAAGTGCTGAACAAAACAAGAAAGCATTAAAATCATAAATAATCACAGAACATTAAAAAGAAAGATAAAAGTATAAAATCCCTCAGTTGTAGCACAGCTAAACAGAACTGTCTTTAACCTGGTTTTAAACATTGTCAGAGAGGAGGCCTGTCTCACATCTTCAGGAAGACTGTTCCAGATTTTAGCAGCATGAATCTGAAAAGCAGCCTCCCCATGTTTAGTTCTGACTCTGGGCACTAACAGGAGTCCAGTCCCTGTGCTCCTCAGAGTCCCAGCAGGAGGCCAGTCCCTGTGCTCCTCAGAGTCCCAGCAGGAGTCCAGTCCCTGTGCTCCTCAGAGTCCCAGCAGGAGTCCAGTCCCTGTGCTCCTCAGAGTCCCAGCAGGAGTCCAGTCCCTGTGCTCCTCAGAGTCCCAGCAGGAGTCCAGTCCCTGTGCTCCTCAGAGTCCCAGCAGGAGGCCAGTCCCTGTGCTCCTCAGAGTCCCAGCAGGAGTCCAGTCCCTGTGCTCCTCAGAGTCCCAGCAGGAGTCCAGTCCCTGTGCTCCTCAGAGTCCCAGCAGGAGTCCAGTCCCTGTGCTCCTCAGAGTCCCAGCAGGAGTCCAGTCCCTGTGCTCCTCAGAGTCCCAGCAGGAGGCCAGTCCCTGTGGCTCCTCAGAGTCCCAGCAGGAGTCCAGTCCCTGTGCTCCTCAGAGTCCCAGCAGGAGTCCAGTCCCTGTGCTCCTCAGAGTCTGGGCTGGTTTGTATGGGACTAATATGTCACTAATACCTCACGAGTACTAGACCTCCCTCATGAGTACTTTAAACCACAAAACAAATTAAATGTATGTTCTTTACTCTGGAAACAGTCTGATCATAACACTGAATGAGAGTATCGGCTGTTACTCAGTCGTTACTCAGCTCTGAACATGGAACATCTAAAAATGTTTTCTGAGATAAAAAGCTGAATATTTATAATGTACATGTTTCAGAGCCAGAAAAGGTCAGTGTGAAAAAGAATCAAAATCAGAATCATCACAGACGAGGAAATTGCTTTTGCTCTCGCTGCAAACAAGTCAAAAGTAGAGAAGAATAAGGCATGATAAAACATTTCTAAAGTACAGTTTTTTCTAAGTTGCAAAGGGTTAAAAGTAAAGTTAAAAGAGCAGAACTACTCCCTCCATGTGTCAGCCGTTAAGAGCAGTAACCAGGTTTGTCCTTTATCTTCAAAGCTAGCACCAAAGTAACACATGACATCAAACTTAAAATGCTGCTGTGTGTGAGTGAAACAACTGCCTCTACAGCTTCATGGACACTGTGGCTCCAGGAGCAGACCATTATCACAGAAACCAGTGGCTCAGAAGGGCCTGAAACCATGGATATAAGAGAGTTGCACAAATGGTTTCTGAGCCAGAGGCGTTTACGTTTCAGTGTCGGCAGGAGCCAGAGCGAGTTGGAGCAAAACTTTGTTCTCTGCGTTATTGGAAAAGTCCATCTTTATAAAGTCTGAGGGTTTCAGCCTCAGCTCAAGTGGACTGGACTGTTTTGAACCTCAAACTCAGACTTTGTTTCAACAATCTCCTCTGAGACTGAAGAAACAATAGGAACACGAGGAAGAGCACTAAAATGATAAAAATACATTATTTGTTCAGTAGTTTTCTGTTTAAAAAAAGAGCTGCACTATCAACACAAACAATGACATTTAGTCAATAAAACAGTCATAAAAACATCATCCCAGATGGTTCTAGAGATGGTTCTAGAGATGGTTCTACAGGTGGTTCTACAGGTGGTTCTAGAGATGGTTCTAGAGATGGTTCTAGGGATGGTTCTAGAGATGGTTCTAGAGATGGTTCTAGAGTTGGTTCTTACAGGTGGCTCTAGAGATGGTTCTACAGGTGGTTCTAGAGATGGTTCTAGAGATGGTTCTACAGGTGGTTTTAGAGGTGGTTCTAGAGATGGTTCTAGAGATGGTTCTACAGGTGGTTTTAGAGATGGTTTTAGAGATGGTTCTAGAGGTGGTTCTACAGGTGGTTCTAGAGATGGTTCTAGAGATGGTTCTAGAGGTGGTTCTAGAGATGGTTCTACAGGTGGTTTTAGAGATGGTTTTAGAGATGGTTCTAGAGGTGGTTCTACAGGTGGTTCTAGAGATGGTTCTAGAGATGGTTCTAGAGGTGGTTCTAGAGATGGTTCTAGAGATGGTTCTAGAGATGGTTCTAGAGGTGGTTCTACAGGTGGTTCTAGAGATGGTTTTAGAGATCGTTCTAGAGATGGTTCTAGAGGTGGTTCTACAGGTGGTTCTAGAGATGGTTCTAGAGATGGTTCTAGAGATGGTTCTAGAGGTGGTTCTACAGGTGGTTCTAGAGATGGTTCTAGAGATGGTTCTACAGGTGGTTCTAGAGATGGTTTTAGAGATGGTTCTAGACGTGGTTCTAGAGATGGTTTTAGAGGTTGTTCTAGAGCCGAGGAGCCTCACAGCCAACTGTTGATTAGTAACTCACATAATGAGGCTGCATCAGTGAACGTGTTTTACAAACCCAGTGAAAACTATATCCAGTCACGTTTGTTTGATAAAGATGTAAAGGTGTCGGCGCCAAAGGAAGTGTGAGAATCAGTCCTTTCTGAGGCGCAGCTGCGATGCTGCCTCCAGCTGCATGTGTTCCTCCAGCCGCATGTGTTCATGTGTTCCTCCAGCTGCATGTGTTCCTCCAGCTGCATGTGTTCCTCCAGCTGCATGTGTTCCTCCAGCCGCATGTGTTCATGTGTTCCTCCAGCTGCATGTGTTCCTCCAGCTGCATGTGTTCCTCCAGCTGCATGTGTTCCTCCAGCTGCATGTGTTCATCCAGCTGCATGTGTTCATCCAGCTGCATGTGTTCCTCCAGCTGCATGTGTTCATGTGTTCCTCCAGCTGCATGTGTTCATTTGTTCCTCCAGCTGCATGTGTTCCTCCAGCTGCATGTGTTCATCCACTGCATGTGTTCCTCCAGCTGCATGTGTTCCTCCAGTTGCATGTGTTCCTCCAGCTGCATGTGTTCCTCCAGCTGCATGTGTTCATCCAGCTGCATGTGTTCATCCAGCTGCATGTGTTCCTCCAGCTGCATGTGTTCATGTGTTCCTCCAGCTGCATGTGTTCATGTGTTCCTCCAGCTGCATGTGTTCCTCCAGCTGCATGTGTTCCTCCAGCTGCATGTGTTCATCCAGCTGCATGTGTTCCTCCAGCTGCATGTGTTCCTCCAGCTGCATGTGTTCCTCCAGCTGCATGTGTTCATCCAGCTGCATGTGTTCCTCCAGCTGCATGTGTTCCTCCAGCTGCATGTGTTCATCCAGCTGCATGTGTTCCTCCAGCTGCATGTGTTCATCCAGCTGCATGTGTTCCTCCAGCTGCATGTGTTTCTCCAGCTGCATGTGTTCATCCAGCTGCATGTGTTCATGTGTTCCTCCAGCTGCATGTGTTCCTCCAGCTGCATGTGTTCGTCCAGCTGCATGTGTTCATGTGTTCCTCCAGCTGCATGTGTTCATCCAGCTGCATGTGTTCATGTGTTCCTCCAGCTGCATGTGTTCCTCCAGCTGCATGTGTTCCTCCAGCTGCATGTGTTCCTCCAGCTGCATGTGTTCATCTAGCTGCATGTGTTCCTCCAGCTGCATGTGTTCATCCAGCTGCATGTGTTCATCCAGCTGCATGTGTTCATCCAGCTGCATGTGTTTGGGGAAAGGCCACTCACTCTTTCACAGTCACTGTTGTTTTGTTTCACAAAGAAAAAGCAAGAGAGCGGCAACATTTGTGTTTTTCTGCTGCAGCAGTGAATAATGAGAGGTTAAAGGATGTTTTGACTTGATAGGATTGTGTCATGGTTTTGTGTCATGTGTTTTGATACAAATAGAGAGAGGTGTGAAATCTGACTTTGATCCAATATCTGAAACATCAGTAGATGTTTCCACGCTGCAAACCCGTGTTATTTACCCGCTTGAAATGCACTGTGGGAAAGCTTGTAAACATAATAAAGGTTAAAAGATCCTGTATGTGTCCCACTGTGGGGAAATTACAGAAACATGAATACTTCTGTCGACTGTGTGCAAATGATTTATGTACTTTTTTAATTACAATAATAATTAAAACACTTGAGGGAAAGTTACGAGATGCCTTTGAAACGTCCTCATGGTCACATGCCTTGAGTGGCCTCTCCGAGAGAGACGGGACCAAACCTCATCAGACCGCTGTGAATCTACTGAACTGAGAGCGGGTATTTAACATACTCCCTACTGTTGTGTCAATGTCAGCTTTATTTGTTTGGAACATCTATAACCAGCTCACATCACTAAGAAAATACAACAGAAATACATGTACATACATGAAAAAGGTGGTGTTAAAAGCCAAGGTCTACAAATGTGTTTTTAGACTAGATTTAGAAGTGTCCAACATGATAAGAGGAAAACTACTCCTCAGTTTAGAAGCAGCAGCGAAGCCCTGGTCTCCTCCAGGTTTAGAGTCAGACACGTTCAACAAAAGATGGTTTTTGTACAGCCCTAAGTCACAGCAGTAGTCGTTGATTCGTCAAAACAGATCAAAGAGTAACACCGTTCAAAAAAACAAAAAAAAACACAGAGCCATTAGTCCAGGGGTGCTCAATACGTCAATCGCGATCTACCAGTCGATCGCAAAGGTAGTATTGGTAGATCGCATTAAATAAATAAAAAATTACACATTCTAAACAAATATATCAAAAAAACTCCGGGCAAAGTGGAGATTTTTGAAAATTCCGTTAATGCATTTGTGTGTAGACAGAGATAACCGGAGTTTTGCGTTCTCGCACGCCACAGTACCCCCCTAAATTCCTCTGATCACTGAAGCATGGATCATACTACCTTAAAAACTGTTCGCTGTGAGATGCTCGCAGCAGCGAACATCCTCCACATCAGAGAGCAGCAAAGTGATCGCGGGGACTCACACTCGGAAACAACCAAACCAGGACTAAACCAGGACTAAACCAGGACTAAACCAGGGCTGAGGACGGGGTCAGTGCTTGTAAACATACGTCTTACTCTTTACTCTGAGTGTCTTCTATGACTGTAAAAGTGCCGTCACCGGCGTCTGCATCAAAGCTCCGCCTACTTCTGTGTTTTTCCCCAACGCAGGACAGGACGTAAGAGACGCACATGTTTGGAATGTTACGAATGTGATTGATAACGCAGATGTGTGGATGCATATTATTTTATTAACGAAGGAGGGGAAATATTTGGATTTAAAAAAACAGGCATGGCACATGGACATGGCACCACAGTCAAATGACATCTGTGTTTTACTCAGTAATGTTTTACTGACACTTAGGTGACTGCACATGCGCAAACAACCGCGCTCAGTGCAGGAAAGCTAAACCACGACAAACTTGTCAGCGAGTTGCCACCAATTTTCCGGACTATGCATCCCTGGCCGATTCAATTCACTGCAAGTCATCAGAGTAAACTCGGGTAATGACAAAAAATGTACATAGGTAATTGTGTTGTGTTGTGCTATATTGGCTCATGCGGTTTTGCATGTACATAAACATACATTGTAGATATAAAGAATATTTTTTGAAATATATGATTTGCATTTTTGTAGTAGGTCGATCATTTTGACTTGATCCTTTTATAAGTAGCTCGCATGATGAAAAAGTGTGAGCACCCCTGCATTAATCCATAAAGGGCAGATGACCCAAGTCCATAAATGTCATCAAATTAAACCATTAAAAAACCATAGACTAAACTATTTCAACATTTAAAAACCAGAATCAGAATCTGAAAACCAACCCAAATGTGATGAGGAGCCAGTGAGGTGAGGCCAGCACAGGGGTGATGTGCTCTCCACAGAGCAGCTCTATAAACTGACTTGGTTTCCACATGAACACGGGCCTGGACCTGTCGGAACCAGAATCTGTCTCTGGGGATTACCGCAGAATAAGACCGCATGGCTCCAGGACGCCTCCTCTGTTTATCTGAGATTTTATTATTTCTCGTTGCCAGATACTTTGCGCTGCTCCCGCTGTCCCCCCGGGTTAACGGATCCTCACACGGCCCCGGCGCCGGTGATGGACCGGCTTCATAAACCACTCACGGCCCACAAAGCATCCGTCACGTGCTCCACTTCCACCATAATCCACTTTGCAATTTGACATCAGCGAGCGCCGATGCTGTTCCTCGTGCTGCGCTGTGTGGATTATGAAAGAGTTTTGTAGCAGGAGCTGGACGTGCCCAGAGCGGGGGTGGACGCTGCAGGTCGCCGGGCAATAACAAGAGGTATCAGGCCGGGTCTGGTGGACCGGTCTCACACTGGATTTATGAGGGGCCTTGTAGGGCGACCTCAGGCAGACACAGCATTCTTCAAACTGAGCAGGACTGAGGCCAAGACTCATAAACCAAACAGCTCTATTAAATACGCTCTGATTGGGCGTAAAAGTACAATCTTTATCAGCAGAAAATAATTACATCTAAAAATCTAAATGTGGAAAGGAGGATTGTCGATTACTCTTTGGTTCTTAAATGTTTGGGTCTTAAAATCCCAAGTTTTAGTAAAGAACCACCCTCTCCACTTTTTGAACAAAACTATCTGCCCAGCAGAATGATTGACAGTTGGGAGGACCAATAGTCTTGATGATCCACCCAGAAGTATATAGTTTTAAGTAAGTAAGTAATGTTTATTATCTAGCACATTCTTTACAGACCAAGGTCTCCCAAATCTCTTTATAATGTTCAGAGTTCAGATATTGTTCCATTCTCTCCACACGGTGATGACACTGGACCATCAAAGCCTCTGACCAAACACCACTCACTCATTACATTCATACCTTAAAGCTAGACAATTTTATAACACACCTTACATGTGCGATTGAGGATTGATACAAACACAAACACACAGGACTTACAGTAACTCCATGGATCCACGACGGCACCACATCATCATCCAACATCTTCCACTTCTGTGCAAAGTGTTGACAACATAAACACAGGCTCTGGAGAAAGACCACTGTTCTCCACGGGCTACACTCATCATCCGACTGTGGCCTGCTTTGAAATTCTAATGTATGATGTAAACAAGGCTCTAGTATCCTTCATATGCTGTAGCCTCATGGAACAACAGAAGAAGAGTCAGGGGACCGAGCCAGTGTTTAATGTGCGTGTGTGTGTGTATACATATATCTATATACACACACACACACTGCATTTCTGCACAGTATTGTTCTCCTTGGCAAAGGTCTGTTGGCTGATTTTAATTAAAGTATAGTGTGTAAATCTGTAAAGCGCAGTCCTGCAGCTCCTCTCCGAGAATCATGATCCTGAGGAAGTCTTTATGAACCAGTGGATTTCTCCATAGTCCATTAATCCGCTCATGAATACGGCCGAACACCTCGCTCCACTGCTGCTTTTGTCTGATAACAAAGCTCTGGCTCTTATCGCAGAGGCCTCACCAGGTCTGAGGAGGACCATCTCATTAAGTCACTAATGACCGGGATCGTGACACGCATGAGCCGGAAATGTAACGAGAAAGAGAAGCAGACGACTGATAAAACCCTCCATTCTATTTCTACTACATTCTGATATTTATGGTTTTCAAGCAAAGACGACGGTTTGTGTGGGGACTTTCGGGACCGTGGGGACCGTGGGGATTGTGGGGACCGCGGGGACCATGGGGACTTTGGGGACCGTGGGGATTGTGAGGACCGTGGGGATTGTGGGGACCGCGGGGACCGTGGGGACTGTGAGGACCGTGGGGATTGTGAGGACCGTGGGGATTGTGGGGACCGCGGGGACCGTGGGGACTGTGAGGACCGTGGGGATTGTGAGGACGTGTTACCACCAAATACAGGATGTGTCCCGGGTCAGGTCCACCGTCTCAGTTTGTTCATACCTGTGCCTCCTCATGGGCTTCTATTTCCCACTGTCTTATCTTAAAGGTGTCATGTGTTCTCAGCAAGAAGGTCCGGGGTTCTATTCCACCATAACCCGTATGACTGGAGTTTGCATGTTCTCCCTGTGTCTGTGTAGGTTTTCTGTGCATGCTTTGATGGTCCAGTGTGTTCTGGTCTCTCATCACTGTGAGTGGACCTTGGTCTGTAAACATGGTCTGTATCAGTCAAACGCTGCAGACAAAGGATGTCAACGAGAGGAGCCTTTATCCTGGCTTGGGACTGTCACGTTTTGACTCACAACAGGACTGTGTTGTGTGTTGTTTGTCATGTGTTGTGTGTTGTTTGTCATATGTTGTGTGTCGAGTGTCATGTGTTGTGTGTCATGTGTTGTGTGTCATGTGTTGAGTGTCATGTGTTGTGTGTCGAGTGTCATGTCTTGTTTGTCATATGTTGTGTGTCGAGTGTCATGTGCTAAAAAGCGTGACCACATTTCACCAATCCTTGCATCTTTGCACTGGCTTCCAGTCAAATTTAGAATTGATTTTAAGGTTTTGTTGTTTGTTTTTAAAGCGTTGAACGGACTGGCCCCTCAGTACGTCACAGACCTCATTGAAGTCTACACCCCAACGCGCGCTCTGAGGTCTGAGGGCCAGCTCCAGCTCGTGGTTCCTAAGACGAAACGTAAAACTCGAGGGGACAGAGCGTTCTCCGTCGTCGGCCCTAAGCTGTGGATCTGCCCCTCCACGTCCGAACAGCCACAACATTGGAGTGTTTTAAATCTCGTCTTAAAACCCACTTTTATTCTCTGGCTTTTAACACCGCGTGAGTTGTGTGGTCCCTGTGTCTTTTTAATTTTTTAGTGTTTTACGATTTTTATTGATTTTATAAATTGATTATTTATTTATTTATTTTTTATTCTATTTTTTGTGTACTTTTTTGTGCAGCACTTTGGAACTGTTCTGTTGTTTAAATGTGCTATAGAAATAAAGTGGATAGGATTGGATTGGATGTGTTGTGTGTCATGCGTTGTGTGTCATGTGTTGAGTGTCATGTGTTGTGTGTCGAGTGTCATGTGTTGTGTGTCATGTGTTGTGTGTCATGTGTTGTGTGTCGAGTGTCATGTGTTGTGTGTCATGTGTTGTGTGTCATGTGTTGAGTGTCATGTGTTGTGTGTCATGTGTTGAGTGTTATGTGTTGTGTGTCATGTGTTAAGTGTCATGTGTCGAGTGTCATGTGTTGTGTGTCATGTGTCGAGTGTCATGTGTCGAGTGTCATGTGTCGATTGTCATGTGTTGTGTATCATGTGTTGTGTGTCATGTGTTGTGTGTCGAGTGTCATGTGTTGTGTGTCATGTGTTGTGTGTCGAGTGTCATGTGTTGTGTGTCATGTGTTGTGTGTCGAGTGTCATGTGTTGTGTGTCATGTGTTGTGTGTCATGTGTTGAGTGTCATGTGTTGTGTGTCATGTGTTGAGTGTCATGTGTTGTGTGTCATGTGTTGAGTGTTATGTGTTGTGTGTCATGTGTTGAGTGTCATGTGTCGAGTGTCATGTGTTGTGTGTCATGTGTCGAGTGTCATGTGTTGTGTGTCATGTGTCGAGTGTCGAGTGTCATGTGTCGATTGTCATGTGTTGTGTGTCATGTGTTGTGTGTCATGTGTTGTGTGTCATGTGTCGAGTGTCGTGTGTCATGTGTCATGTGTTGTGTGTCATATGTCGAGTGTCATGTGTCGAGTGTCATGTGTCGATTGTCATGTGTTGTGTGTCATGTGTTGTGTGTCATGTGTTGTGTGTCATGTGTCGAGTGTCATGTGTCGTGTGTCATGTGTCATGTGTTGTGTGTCATGTGTTGTGTGTCATGTGTCGAGTGTCATGTGTCGTGTGTCATGTGTCATGTGTTGTGTGTCATGTGTCGAGTGTCATGTGTCGTGTGTCATGTGTTGTGTGTCATGTGTTGTGTGTCATGTGTCATGTGTTGTGTGTCATGTGTTGTGTGTCATGTGTTCTTGTTTACAGTTAGGGCTCGACGCGTTTTCCTTTTTGAAAGGAGTCAATAAATGTGTTTGAAATATGACAATATCTTAATGGAGCGGACCGGCCTCTGGTGCGGTCCCTGGAGCGGCCTCTGGACCGCCCTCTGGGGCGGCCTCTGGGGCGGCCTCTGGAGCGGTCCCTGGGGCGGCCTCTGGAACGGCTTCTGGGGCGGCCTCTGGAGCGGCCTCTGGAGCGGCCTCTGGAGCGGCCTCTGGGGCGGCCTCTGGGGCGGCCTCTGGAGCGGCCTCAGGGGCGGTCCCTGGAGCGGCCTCTGGAGCGGTCCCTGTGGCGGTCCCTGTGGCGGTCCCTGCAGCGGCCTCTGGAGCGGCCTCTGGAGCGGCCTCTGGAGCGGCCTCTGGAGCGGCCTCTGGAGCGGCGGCCTCTGAAGCGGCCTCTGAAGCGGCCTCTGGAGCGGTCTCTGGAGCAGTCTCTGGAGCGGCCTCAGGAGCAGCCTCAGGAGCGGCCTCTGGAGCGGCCTCTGGAGCGGCCTCAGGAGCGGCCTCAGGAGCGGCCTCAGGAGCGGCCTCAGGAGCGGCCTCAGGAGCGGCCTCAGGCCTCAGGAGCGGCCTCAGGAGCGGCCTCTGGAGCGGCCTCAGGAGCAGCCTCTGGAGCAGCCTCTGGAGCAGCCTCTGCAGCAGCCTCTGGAGCAGCCTCTGCAGCGGTCCCTGCAGCGGTCTCTGGAGCGGCCTCTGGAGCGGCCTCTGGAGCGGCCTCTGGAGCGGCCTCTGGAGCGGCCTCTGGAGCGGCCTCTGGAGCGGCCTCTGGAGCGGCCTCTGGAGCGGCCTCTGGAGCGGCCTCTGGAGCGGCCTCTGGAGCGGCCTCTGGAGCGGTCCCTTAAGCGGTCCCTAAAGCAGTCCCTGTGGAGCCGCTGCAGCTGCATCAGAGCGAAGGCGTCTTCTCGGAGTCAAGTGTGGCGCGGTCGTGGCAGATGTTAATCCCGGAGAAGCCGCCGCTCGCCGCAGACAGATGATCCATCACGCCTCATGAATATGGATATTCACATTTGTTTCACCTTGATGTAATCTCCTGAAAATGGGTTCAGAAACAAAACACTTGTAAATACAGTGGTTTAAAAAGTGCCTTTAGAGAAAAAACATCAAAGTCAATGCTCTGGAAAAGTGTGTGTGCAGTTTCAGTCTCAGACCCAGAGACCACACAGGTCTTTCTTCAGGAGGAATAAGAATACTTACAAAAGTACTACACTTTCAAACCACTGAAACTGTGTCATATAATCCATTCTGGTTTTTAAATGTCTTCATGATCTGGCCCCAGCCCACCTGCCCCAGCGTCCCCTCACACTCCCCCAGACAGATGAGGTCCAGTTTCAGCTTCTGCTAAACCCAAACCCCGGCTGAAAAGCAGAGGTGGCCTTCTCTGGAGCTGCTCCTAAACTCTGGAACAGCCTCTGTCTGTTCGAAGCACGGCTTCTGTCACGGTTTTGGTTTATTTCTGTTTTATTTTGAAATGTGTTATCCCTGTGTCTTCTTTGGTTGTACTTCCTGTCTGATGACCTGCAATGGAGGTGAAGTGTCTTGCCTAAGGACACAACCACAGTTTGGCACTTTACAGCCGCAGCCGCCCCACTGTGGCACCTGCTGTTCCCAGAGGTTAAGTGTCTTGCCCAAGGACACAACGACAGCAGACAGTGGGAGTCGATGGTGAAGGTCGGGCTCGAACCACGACCCTCTGGCTCTGAGGTCAATGCTCTACCAACTGAGCAACTGTCGCCCATGTGACAGCTTCTTTAAATGTTTTTAAGACTTTATTAAAAACTCATCTTTTTACTCTGGCTTTTGGCAACTAGGAAGTGTTGCACTGTTGTAATGTTTGTTCTGGTTCTACTATTTTTTTAATTTTCTTTATTTGATGTATTATACTGTGCAGCGATTGTTGTTGTAAATGTGCTATAGAAACGTGACATTAGTATTCTCCGTGTTATGTACAGTACATTTACTACATGCCAGGTTTGTCCTTAGCTCCAAACATGCTCTTATTAGCTCTGCGCCACACGGCTGTTTCCAGTTCAAAGTCATCGCCTCGTGTAGAACAGCTCCATAAACGTTTTCCTATTTCCCCGGAGAATAGTCCTCGCCGTTCATAGCTCCCCTCCCCCTCACCTCCCCCTCAGCTCCCCCTCGCGGCTCCCTCCATGGATTTATAATAATAACTGGATAGTGTATTACTAGCTTATAGCTGTCCCACCCACGGGCACAGGGGGCGCTGTGGTACTGCAGACTACATTCACGTGGGCTACCCAGAAAAAAGTCCCATAGAACTCAATGTAAACTAAAACAGCACGACCTCAGCTGACAGAGAACCTGACAGAGAACCTGATAGAGAACCTACAGAGAACCTGACAGAGAAAATACAGAGAACCTGACTGAGAACCTGACAGAGAACCTACAGAGAACCTGACTGAGAACCTACAGAGAACCTGACTGAGAACCTGACAGAGAACCTGACAGAGAACCTACAGAGAACCTGACAGAGAACCTGACAGAGAACCTACAGAGAACCTGACTGAGAACCTGACAGAGAACCTGACAGAGAACCAGACAGAGAACCTGACAGAGAACCACACAGAGAACCTACAGAGAACCTGACAGAGAACCACACAGAGAACCTGACTGAGAACCAGACAGAGAACCTGACAGAGAACCACACAGAGAACCTACAGAGAACCTGACTGAGAACCTACAGAGAACCTGACTGAGAACCTGACTGAGAACCTGACAGAGAACCTGACAGAGAACCAGAGAGAGAACCTGACAGAGAACCTGACAGAGAACCTGACAGAGAACCTGACAGAGAACCTGACAGAGAACCTACAGCTTTCATAAAGGTCAGATTTTGGGGGGATGTTAGTGTCCCTTGTCGTCCTGAACTTTTTTTCTTCTTAAATCCTTCGGTTTTCTTTAAATCCACACTTTACTGCCACAAACTCTGCTCCTTTCCTTCCTGCTCTGACTCCGCTCTGATCAGCTCTGATTGGTCAGAGTGCGGCCGAGCCCCTCTGTGCACGTGCATGAGAGACACACGTGTATTTGGCCCAAAGCATCATGGGAGCTCGTCCACTGCGCAGAACCAGGAGGACCAGATGATGCCCAAATATGGGCGAGTTCTGCTAATCTCCCGGGCTCCGTGAAGTCCCATGAACTACTGAGCACAAGGCATTCATTTGAATAGGGGCCATCTTGGATCACTGGGGCTCGGCTCCCCCTCTCAGCTCCCCTCTCCCCCTCTCAGTTCCCCTCTCCCCCTCTCGGCTCCCCCTCTCCCCCTCATTGGCTCCCCCTCTCCCCCTCATCGGCTCCCCCTCTCAGTTCCCCTCTCCCCCTCTCAGTTCCCCTCTCCCCCTCTCGGCTCCCCTCTCCCCCTCATTGGCTCCCCCTCTCCCCCTCTCAGTTCCCCTCTCCCCCTCTCAGTTCCCCTCTCCCCCTCTCGGCTCCCCTCTCCCCCTCTCCCCCTCATTGGCTCCCCCTCTCAGCCCCCCCTTCTCAGCTCTCCCTCTCAGCCCCCCCTCGCACCCCGTCTCCCCCTCTCGGCTGCCCCTCTCAGCAAGGACACTCTGCCCTAACGCCTTCATTTACTGGTTCCAGATGTGGATCATACACAAACTATAGTTATGGAGGCGGGTCCCACATCTGCCCGAGGATCCCCGTTCATGGTCAAAGCCATCAAGGACTAATGAAATAAATGTGACCTTTTGGCTATGACCGTATGTAGCATATGGACGGGAAATAAACAAGTATTATTCAACTGCTGCATGTGTCATTATTATCCCAATTACCCCGAGCCGCTGGCACGAGAAGCAGCTCTTAGAATCATAAAGAATAATAGACTCCATTAGCAACACGGGTAAAGACCTACGTCTCTTCATCGCTAGCGTTAATTATTTGTTTGCACCTTTCAGAGCATCCTAGTGTTCCCTGAGTTTTTATGCCGCTTTTCCATAGTCACTGTAAGTCACGGCACAGCACAGTACGGCGCAGCACAGTCATGTGCGCTGTTTTTCAAAATAGTACCTCTTCAGTGTGGGAGGGGTTGTCAGACCATATCATTTACGCCCGACGTGTAACCAGTAACATTGGTGCGGTGCATGGATTTATTATAATATCAGTGATAGCTGGTTATTACCCCATGTAGTACTGACTATTACCTCCAGGGGGCTCCTCTTACGCCCTGTAGTACTGACCATTATCTGCAGGGGGCTCCTCTTACCCCCTGTAGTACTGACCATTACCTCCAGGGGGCTCCTCTTACCCCCTGTAGTACTGACCATTATCTGCAGGGGGCTCCTCTTACGCCCTGTAGTACTGATCATTACCTCCAGGGGGCTCCTCTTACCCCATGTAGTACTGACCATTACCTCCAGGGGGCTCCTCTTACCCCCTGTAGTACTGATCATTACCTCCAGGGGGCTCCTCTTACCCCCTGTAGTACTGACCATTACCTCCAGGGGGCTCCTCTTACGCCCTGTAGTACTGATCATTACCTCCAGGGGGCTCCTCTTACCCCCTGTAGTACTGACCATTACCTCCAGGGGACTCCTCTTACCCTCTGTAGTACTGACCATTACCTCCAGGGGGCTCCTCTTACGCCCTGTAGTACTGACCATTACCTCCAGGGGGCTCCTCTTACCCCCTGTAGTACTGACCATTACCTCCAGGGGGCTCCTCTTACCCCCTGTAGTAGTAAAATAAAACTTAACCAAATGTCTCCATCCTTGTCCATAAATGTTCCACGGTTTTACGGATTTACTGACAAATATAATGTATGTAAAGTAAATGGAAGTAAAATTATGTGGTAGGAAAACAAAACTTTTGCTTTTGAGCCCTTTTCTGCAGTGTTTAGACAAATGAATGAAACAAAGTCCTGATACAATCACAGATTTATTAAAAACAAAAGTAAAACCAACAGTTTACAAAGTCCAAAGTCCGTCTCAGACCAGGTCCAGACCAGGTCTCATTGCTCGTTGGTAATCTCCACACTTATGGAAAGAGATTCTCAAACAAATATACACAGGACAACTTAAACACAAGCACAAAACAGAAACATGTGAATACTGCAGATTATACGAGATAAAGTAGCACAGGGAGGACGTTAGCTTAGCTACTATCGATAGCTATATGAAGCTAATTGTAGCTAGCGTCCTGAGTTCCCGTCCTGAGTTCTCGTCCTGGGTTCTCGTCCTGAGTTCCCGTCCTGAGTTCTCGTCCTGGGTTCCCGTCCTGAGTTCTCGTCCTGAGTTACCGTTCTGAGTTCCCGTCCTGAGTTCTCGTCCTGAGTTCCCGTCCTGAGTTCCCGTCCTGAGTTCTCGTCCTGAGTTCCCGTCCTGAGTTCTCGTCCTGAGTTCCCGTCCTGAGTTCCCGTCCTGAGTTCTCGTCCTGAGTTCCCGTCCTGAGTTCTCGTCCTGAGTTCCCGTCCTGAGTTCCCGTCCTGAGTTCTCGTCCTGAGTTCTCGTCCTGAGTTCTCGTCCTGAGTTCTCGTCTTGTCAGTTTGGTATCAACTCGAGCCTCGACGTTTTGACAGACGGTGAAATAGATTTTTAAACTTTGCTTTGACAAATTGTCCAAAGAGAAATAAAAACATGAGCAGTTGGTTTGAAGGCGAACGGAAAGTTTCATTTCATGATTTATTATTAATCTTTGTCGTTTTGGAATCTTTCCAAATTAAAATGATCTTTACATTATGTTTTATTTGATAACTGGAAATGTATCAGTCCAGGAGCTACAGCTTTTGTTCTGTCTGAGAGAATAAGAAGAGAGTGGAGTTTGCATGTTCTCCCTGTGTCTGTGTAGGTTTCCTCCGTGTGCTCCGGTTTCCCCTACCACTAAATAAAACATGCACTATAGGTCTGTATGTAAAGAATGAGTGAGTGGAGGGTGTTTGGTCGGAGGCTTTGATGGTCCAGTGTGTTCTGGTCTCGCTTCATCACCGTGTGGAGAGACTGGAACCATATCTGACTCTGAAGATTGTAAAGTGCTTTGGGCGACATTGGTCTGTATTAAGTGCTATATAAATAAACATTACTCATTACTATAGATACAGATCCTCGTACATATTGTCCAGTGGCAGAAACACTTCCATTTGAACCAAAACATGAACCAAAACATGAATCCAAACTAAGCTAAAATTCTCAAACCTAATGTAAAAATTGAGCATCCATCAGTTTGTTCCAATGTTAAAGAGATGGACCTTTTTAAGCTTTTTAACTGTTTTTAACCTTTTTAACTGTTTTTAACCTTTTTAACCTTTTTAACTCTTTTTAAGCTTTTTAACTGTTTTTAACCTTTTTAACTGTTTTTAACCTTTTTAACCTTTTTAACTCTTTTTAACCTTTTCAACTGTTTTTAACCTTTTGAACCTTTTTAATCTTTTTAACTCTTCTTGAAAACACCAAATGTCCAGAGGACACTGAGTTCAGTCCATTTAAAACAAGTTTTTTGGAAAATCCAAAGCACAATGATCCCAAATCCCTGCTCATGTGAACTGGCTCTCACCATAGACGTCCCAAACACTGGCTCTGGTTCTCCTGGTTCTCCTGTTCCTCCTGGTTCTCCTGTTCCTCCTGTTCCTCCTGTTCCTCCTGTTCCTCTGGTTCTCCTGGTTCCTCTGGTTCTCCTGGTTCTCCTGGTTCCTCTGGTTTTCCTGGTTCTCCTGGTTCTCCCGGTTCCTCTGGTTTTCTTGGTTCTCCTGGTTCTCCTGGTTCCTCTGGTTCTCCTGGTTTTCTTGGTTCTCCTGGTTCTCCTGGTTCCTCTGGTTCTCCTGGTCTTCGGAGCAGGTTCCGCATGGTTCGGGTTCCGCAGGCTGTGACAAGTGAGCGTTTTGACAAATCAGAGCCGATTATTGACTGTTAGTCTGATGCTCATGGACAGTAGAACTCTGAGATGAAATGAGCCTCTGTCCCCTCCACCTCGGCCCCCTCCACCGGCCCCCTCCACCGGCCCCCTCCGCCTCGGCCCCCTCCACCTCGGCCCCCTCCACCTCGGCCCCCTCCACCTCGACCCCCTCCGCCTCAGTCCCCTCCGCCTCGGTCGGCTCCGGCTCGGCCCGCTCCGGCTCGGTCCCCTCCGCCTCGGCCCCCTCCGCCTCGGCCCCCTCCACCTTGACCCCCTCCGCCTCGGTCGGCTCTGGCTCGGTCCGCTCCGGCTCGGCCCGCTCCGGCTCGGTCCCCTCCGCCTCGGCCCCCTCCGCCTCGGTCCCCTCCGCCTCGGTCCCCTCCACCTCGGTCCGCTCCGGCTCGGCCCGCTCCGGCTCGGCCCGCTCCGGCTCGGTCCCCTCCGCCTCGGCCCCCTCCGCCTCGGTCCCATCCACCTCGGCCCCCTCCGCCTCGGTCCGCTCCGGCTCGGTCCGCTCCGCCTCGGTCGGCTCTGGCTCGGCCCCCTCCGCCTCGGTCCCCTCCGCCTCGGCCCGCTCCGCCTCGGTCCCCTCCACCTCGGTCCCCTCCGCCTCAGTCCGCTCCGCCTCAGTCCCCTCCGCCTCAGTCCCCTCCGCCTCGGTCGGCTCTGGCTCGGCCCCCTCCACCTCGGTCCGCTCCGGCTCGGCCCGCTCCGGCTCGGTCCGCTCCGGCTCGGCCCGCTCCGGCTCGGCCCGCTCCGGCTCGGTCCCCTCCGCCTCGGTCCCCTCCGCCTCAGTCCCCTCCGCCTCGGTCGGCTCTGGCTCGGCCCCCTCCACCTCGGTTCGCTCCGGCTCGGCCCGCTCCGCCTCGGCCCGCTCCGCCTCGGCCCGCTCCGCCTCGGTCCCCTCCACCTCGGTCCCCTCCGCCTCAGTCCGCTCCGCCTCAGTCCCCCCCGCCTCAGTCCCCTCCGCCTCGGTCGGCTCTGGCTCGGCCCCCTCCACCTTGGTCCGCTCCGGCTCGGCCCGCTCCGGCTCGGCCCGCTCCGGCTCGGCCCGCTCCGGCTCGGTCCCCTCCGCCTCGGCCCCCTCCGCCTCGGTCCCCTCCACCTCGGCCCCCTCCGCCTCGGTCCGCTCCGGCTCGGTCCGCTCCGCCTCGGTCCGCTCCGGCTCGGCCCCCTCCACCTCGGTCCGCTCCGGCTCGGCCCGCTCCGGCTCGGCCCGCTCCGGCTCGGCCCGCTCCGGCTCGGTCCCCTCCGGCTCGGTCCGCTCCGGCTCGGTCAGCTCCGCCTCGGTCCGCTCCGGCTCGGTCCGCTCCGGCTCGGTCCGCTCCGGCTCGGTCCGCTCCGGCTCAGTATGCTCCTCTGCCTTTAATTGTGTTTAAAGCAGAGAAAGTCAAAAAGCGTAATATGGGACCTTTAAAATAGTCCATACTGAAGCTGAAGTTGGCTGAATGACACACGTTGACCATCTCACAGCGACATTAGCAGCTACATGACAGAACAGAAACAGAAATTAAGTCAATGGATTCTGGAGGTTCTGTGTTTCCAACGCGGCACATGAACATCTATCGGAGGAGCTGAAGTTGGCTGGATGCTTCTTGATCTCAAACTGTGGGTAACTATATAAAAGTAAATGACAGAGTCGAGCTGTGGGTGGGTCTTTGTCAAACTACATTATGTTTGAACTGTGATAAATAAGTTACGGACCTCGTTGCCAGCTCTGTGGTTCTGGACCGGCTGCTCTCTGGTTATGTCGGTGCTGGTTCTGGACCGGCTGCTCTCTGGTTATGTCGGTGCTGGTTCTGTACCGGCTGCTCACTGGTTATGTCGGTGCTTGGTTCTGGACCGGCTGCTCTCTGGTTATGTCGGTGCTGGTTCTGGACCGGCTGCTCTCTGGTTATGTCGGTGCTGGTTCTGGACCGGCTGCTCTCTGGTTATGTCGGTGCTGGTTCTGGACCGGCTGCTCACTGGGTTATGTCGGTGCTGGTTCTGGACCGGCTGCTCTCTGGTTATGTCGGTGCTGGTTCTGGACCGGCTGCTCTCTGGTTATGTCGGTGCTGGTTCTGTACCGGCTGCTCACTGGTTATGTCGGTGCTTGGTTCTGGACCGGCCGCTCACTGGGTTATGTCGGTGCTTGGTTCTGGTCCGGCTGCTCACTGGGTTATGTCGGTGCTGGTTCTGTACCGGCTGCTCACTGGTTATGTCGGTGCTTGGTTCTGGACCGGCCGCTCACTGGGTTATGTCGGTGCTTGGTTCTGGTCCGGCTGCTCTCTGGTTATGTCGGTGCTTGGTTCTGGTCCGGCTGCTCACTGGTTATGTCGGTGCTTGGTTCTGGACCGGCTGCTCACTGGGTTATGTCTGTGCTTGGTTCTGGTCCGGCTGCTCTCTGGTTATGTCGATGCTTGGTTCTGGTCCGGCTGTTCACTGGTTATGTCGGTGCTTGGTTCTGGTCCGGCTGCTCTCTGGTTATGTCGGTGCTTGGTTCTGGTCCGGCTGCTCACTGGTTATGTCGGTGCTTGGTTCTGGTCCGGCTGCTCTCTGGTTATGTCGGTGCTTGGTTCTGGTCCGGCTGCTCACTGGTTATGTCGGTGCTTGGTTCTGGACCGGCTGCTCTCTGGGTTATGTCGGTGCTTGGTTCTGGACCGGCTGCTCTCTGGGTTATGTCGGTGCTTGGTTCTGGACCGGCTGCTCTCTGGGTTATGTCGGTGCTTGGTTCTGGACCGGCTGCTCTCTGGGTTATGTCGGTTTGGCTGAAGTAAAAAGTGCTGTTTTTGTTTTCTAAAGATATTATTTTGCTCAGATGCATAAATGCATGTCTCTAAAAGTCTGTTTCCGTCGCTGTCGGAGGCAGGTGTTTCATCAGCGACATTCGGCCCAGTTTACTGCCATCTGCCCAAAGTGGGACACCGTTTGTAATTTGGACCGATTTCACTTTTTATGTTTTTGGTGAAAGTGGAAATAATTAAAAACTTTTTCATCAAGTTGGTTTTAAAAGAATCTGGACTAAGGCTTTACACGCTGTTACTTCACTGCTACCACAGTACTGATACTACTACTGCTACCACAGTACTGTGATACTACTACTGCTACCACAGTACTGATACTACTACTGCTACCACAGTACTGATACTACTACTGCTACCACAGTACTGATACTACTACTGCTACCACAGTACTGATACTACTACTGCTACCACAGTACTGATACTACTACTGCTACCACAGTACTGATACTACTACTGCTACCACAGTACTGATACTACTACTGCTACCACAGTACTGCATACTATACTACTACTGCTACCACAGTACTGATACTACCTACTGCTACCACAGTACTGATACTACTACTGCTACCACAGTACTGATACTACTACTGCTACCACAGTACTGATACTACTACTGCTACCACAGTCCTGATACTACTACTCCTACCACAGTACTGATACTACTACTGCTAATACTGCTACGGCTACTACAACTAGTACTACTACTTCTACTACTACTGCTACTGCTACTACTACTACTACTGCTACTACTACTACTACTGCTACTACTACTACTACTGCTACTACTGCTACTACTACTACTACTACTACTACTACTGCTACTACTACTATGACTACTGCTACAGAAATCTAGGAAGACACAGGGAGAACATGCAAATACTACTCAGGCATTTTATGAAAGAAATCAAGACCTTTATATTTTGCATAAAAACGGATCCCGTGAGTCACTATTTGACGCTTTAGGCTGAGAGATGATTTGCTGAGAGCTAATTGGCTGAGAGCTGATTGGCGGAAAGTTGATTGGCTGAGAGCTGATTGGCTGAGAGCTGATTGGCTGAGAGATGATTGGCTGAGAGCTGATTGGCTGAGAGCTGATTGGCTGAGAGCTGATTGGCTGAGAGCTGATTGGCTGAGAGCTGATTTCACACATGCACACAAAAATGCATGTGTGAAAACTATAAACACAAACGGTCTCTGAGGAGGGAGCGACTTGGATTCTACACAGTTCTGTGGTTTGAAGGTTAGGTAACCCAGCTTTAAAGCCAACCATATGTTATGACTGCGCCTGCACCGTCAATTATGAATGCAAACACGGACTCTGACACTTCGGAAGCCGCCGCACGCCACACATGAAAGAGTCATGATGCTGGTCGCTGGTTTCACCGTCACAGAGGGAGATACGTGTCACAGACGTGTCAAAGAGGGAGATACGTGTCACAGACGTGTCACAGAGGGAGATACGTGTCACAGACGTGTCACAGAGGGAGATACGTGTCACAGACGTGTCACAGACGTGTCATAGACGTGTCACAGACGTGTCACAGAGGGAGATACGTGTCACAGACGTGTCACAAAGGGAGATACGTGTCACAGACGTGTCACAGACGTGTCACAGACGTGTCACAGAGGGAGATACGTGTCACAGACGTGTCACAGAGGGAGATACGTGTCACAGACGTGTCACAGACGTGTCACAGAGGGAGATACGTGTCACAGACGTGTCACAGACGTGTCACAGAGGGAGATACGTGTCACAGAGGGAGATACGTGTCACAGACGTGTCACAGAGGGAGATACGTGTCACAGACGTGTCACAGAGGGAGATACGTGTCACAGACGTGTCACAGAGGGAGATACGTGTCACAGACGTGTCACAGTGGGAGATACGTGTCACAGACGTGTCACAGAGGGAGATACGTGTCACAGACGTGTCACAGAGGGAGATACGTGTCACAGACGTGTCACAGTGGGAGATACGTGTCACAGACGTGTCACAAAGGGAGATACGTGTCACAGACGTGTCACAGAGGGAGATACGTGTCACAGACGTGTCACAGAGGGAGATACGTGTAACAGACGTGTCACAGAGGGAGATACGTGTCACATACGTGTCACAGAGGGAGATACGTGTCACAGACGTGTCACAGACGTGTCACAGAGGGAGATACGTGTCACAGACGTGTCACAGAGGGAGATACGTGTCACAGACGTGTCACAGAGGGAGATACGTGTCACAGACGTGTCACAGACGTGTCACAGAGGGAGATACGTGTCACAGACGTGTCACAGAGGGAGATACGTGTCACAGACGTGTCACAGACGTGTCACAGAGGGAGATACGTGCCACAGACGTGTCACAGAGGGAGATACGTGTCACAGACGTGTCACAGAGGGAGATACGTGTCACAGACGTGTCACAGAGGGAGATACGTGTCACAGAGGGAGATACGTGTCACAGACGTGTCACAGAGGGAGATACGTGTCACAGAGGGAGATACGTGTCACAGACGTGTCACAGAGGGAGATACGTGTCACAGACGTGTCACAGAGGGAGATACGTGTCACAGACGTGTCACAGACGTGTCACAGAGGGAGATACGTGTCACAGACGTGTCACAAACGTGTCACAGAGGGAGATACGTGTCACAGACGTGTCACAGACGTGTCACAGAGGGAGATACGTGTCACAGACGTGTCACAGACGTGTCACAGAGGGAGATACGTGTCACAGACGTGTCACAGAGGGAGATACGTGTCACAGACGTGTCACAGACGTGTCACAGAGGGAGATACGTGCCACAGACGTGTCACAGAGGGAGATACGTGTCACAGACGTGTCACAGAGGGAGATACGTGTCACAGACGTGTCACAGAGGGAGATACGTGTCACAGAGGGAGATACGTGTCACAGACGTGTCACAGAGGGAGATACGTGTCACAGAGGGAGATACGTGTCACAGACGTGTCACAGAGGGAGATACGTGTCACAGACGTGTCACAGAGGGAGATACGTGTCACAGACGTGTCACAGACGTGTCACAGAGGGAGATACGTGTCACAGACGTGTCACAAACGTGTCACAGAGGGAGATACGTGTCACAGACGTGTCACAGACGTGTCACAGAGGGATATACGTGTCACAGACGTGTCACAGAGGGAGATACGTGTCACAGACGTGTCACAGACGTGTCACAGAGGGAGATACGTGCCACAGACGTGTCACAGAGGGAGATACGTGTCACAGACGTGTCACAGAGGGAGATACGTGTCACAGACGTGTCACAGAGGGAGATACGTGTCACAGAGGGAGATACGTGTCACAGACGTGTCACAGAGGGAGATACGTGTCACAGAGGGAGATACGTGTCACAGACGTGTCACAGAGGGAGATACGTGTCACAGACGTGTCACAGAGGGAGATACGTGTCACAGACGTGTCACAGACGTGTCACAGAGGGAGATACGTGTCACAGACGTGTCACAAACGTGTCACAGAGGGAGATACGTGTCACAGACGTGTCACAGACGTGTCACAGACGTGTCACAGAGGGAGATACGTGTCACAGACGTGTCACAGAGGGAGATACGTGTCACAGACGTGTCACAGACGTGTCACAGAGGGAGATAGGTGTCACAGAGCTCAAGTTTAAAGGTTTAAAGGAGGATTTTCACAAACTCTCTGTTCTCTGTGTCTGAGCTGATGAAACCAGAGCACCCAGAGGACACCTATGCAGACACGGGAAGAACATGCAAACTGCCACTGTGCCGGCCCATTTATTTCACAAACAGCAGAGGGATTATCAGTCGTTCAGACGACCTTTCATTCTACAGATGTTCCACTCACAGATGTCCAAATATTTAACCAAAGCCCACGCAGAAGCTCAGAGTCACACCATCAATAACTAATAACTAATAATAATACATAAGATTAAGAGATTATTCATCTCTCAGCAGGAGATAACTTCTGTAATCCAGAGATTGTAAAGATTAAAACGACTCTTCCTCTGGATGACGTTTCAGACTGAGGACGAGCTGGATTACTACAAACGTGTTTACTTTTGTAAACATGTTTCTGTAGAGATTCTTAGTTAAACTTTAACCCTTTAATGTTCACTCCATGAAGAAAGCAATGCACCGGAAAATCTATCTTTTTATTTTAATTCTGGGCCGTTCCCAACCCTACCTAACCCTACCCAACCCTACCTAACCTTACCTAACCCTACCTAACCCTACCCAACCCTACCTAACCTTACCTAACCCTACCCAACCCTACCTAACCTTACCTAACCCAACCCTACCTAACCCTACCCAACCCTACCTAACCCTCCCCAACCCTACCTAACCCTACCTAACCTTACCTTACTCTACCTAACCTTACCTAACCCTACCTAACCCCACCTAACCTTACCTAACCCTACCCAACCCTACCTAACCTTACCTAACCCAACCCTACCTAACTCTACCTAACCTTACCTAACCCTCCCCAACCCTACCTAACCCTCCCCAACCCTACCTAACCTTACCTAACCCTACCTAACTCTACCTAACCTTACCTAACCCTCCCCAACCCTACCTAACCCTACCTAACCTTACCTAACCCTACCTAACTCTACCTAACCCTACCTAACCGCGGGCGGCACGGTGGCTGAGTGGATAGCACTCTCGCCTCTCAGCAAGAAGGTCCTTGGTTCGAATCCCGGCCGGACAAGGGCCTTTCTGAGTGGAGTTTGCATGTTCTCCCCGTGTCTGCGTAGGTTTCCTCCGGGTACTCCGGTTTCCCCTACCACTAAAAATATGTCCAATAGGTCTGGCATGCGCCTGCTGTACTGGCCCCGCTCCCATCTCTGTGTGGAGTGAGAATACAAGTGCCCAAAAATAACAATTGTAAACCGCTTTGTGACTCTGGTCTGTGAAAGGCGGTATATAAATAAATAAATAAAGCTTACTAACCCTACCTAACCCCACCTAACCCTACCTAACCTTACCTAACCCTACCTAACTCTACCTAACCCTACCCAACCCTACCTAACCCTACCCAACCCTACCTAACCCTATCCAACCTTACCTAACCCTACCAAACCCTACCTAACCTTACCTAACCCTACCAAACCCTACCTAACCTTACCTATCCTTACCTAACCCTACCTAACCTTACCTAACCCTACCTAACCCTTCCCAACCCTACCTAACCTTACCTAACCCTACCCTACCTAACCTTACCTAACCCAACCCTACCTAACCCTATCTAACCCTACCCAACCTTACCAAACCCTACCTAACCCTCCCCAACCCTACCTAACCCCACCTAACCCTACCTAACCGTACCCAACCCTACCTAACCTTACCTAACCCTACCTAACCCTACCTAACCCTACCTAACCTAACCTAACCCTACCCAACCTTACCTAACCCTACCAAACCCTACCTAACTCTACCCAACCCTACCTAACCTTACCTAACCCTACCTAACCTAACCTAACCCTACCTAACCTTACCCAACCCTACCTAACTCTACCAAACCCTACCTAACCTTACCAGACTCTACCTAACCCTACCCAACCTTACCAAACCCTACCTAACCCTACCCAACCTTACCCAACCTTACCTAACCCTACCAAACCCTACCCAACCCTACCTAACCTTACCTAACCCTACCAAACCCTACCTAACCTTACCTAACCCTACCTAACCCTACCCAACCCTACCTAACCCTACCCTACCCAACCCTACCTAACCCTACCCAACCCTACCTAACCCTACCTAACCTTACCTAACCCTACCTAACCCTACCAACCCTACCTAACCATACACTACCCAACCCTACCTAACCCTACCCTACCCAACCCTACCCAACCCTACCTAACCTTACCTAACCCTACCCTACCAAACCCTACCAAATCCTACCTAACCCTACCTATTCCTACCTAACCCTACCCAATCCTACCTAACCCTACCTAACCCTACCTAACCCTACCCAACCCTACTTTACCCTGTTGAGCTGCAGTTTGTGTAAAGTGTAGATTTCAGTCCAAGCTTCGACAAGTGTTTAAAGAAACCATGAAAGCATTTTTTCATGTAAACTTTCAGTTTTTCTTCTGATTCTGTCAAAGGCGCGTTCAGACCAAAAGCTTCAAAAAGCTTTTGACGCGCTTCAACTGACGCCGGGATAGTTTTGTCATTTTGGTGCTTGAAGCTTTTGACGCGAGTGACGCGCCTGACGCCGGTCGGAGGAGCTTCTCTGTTGTCTGTGGGAGGAGCTTCTCTGTTGTCTGTGGGAGGAGCTTCTCTGTTGTCTGTGGGAGGAGCTTCTCTGTTGTCTGTGGGAGGAGCTTCTCTGTTGCCTGTGGAATGAGCTTCTCTGTTGCCTGTGGGAGGAGCTTCTCTGTTGTCTGTGGGAGGAGCTTCTCTGTTGCCTGTGGGAGGAGCTTCTCTGTTGCCTGTGGGAGGAGCTTCTCTGTTGTCTGTGGGAGGAGCTTCTCTGTTGCTTGTGGGAGGAGCTTCTCTGTTGTCTGTAGTCAGGACAGCGGTGGATTTTTCAATGAGCAGCGAGCCTTTATTTGTTATATAAAGCAAAATAACGTTGTTGTAGGGCTTCAACAAAACATGTTCTGGGTTCACCACAGACTTGAGAGGCTGCAATGTTTGCAGAGTTCTGTCATTTACTCCAGGAGCTGCGTACGGAGGAGTTTCGCTTTCAGCGGTACTTCCACATGTCACTCGCCCAGTCTGAGTTCTCAAACCCCGGAGCTCGCCTCTCCCTGCCTCTCCCCGGCTCTCGCTCGCCTCTCCCCGGCTCTCGCCTCTCCCTGCCTCTCCCTGCCTCTCCCTGCCTCTCCCCGGCTCTCGCCTCTCCCTGCCTCTCCCCGGCTCTCGCTCGCCTCTCCCTGCCTCTCCCTGCCTCTCGCTCGCCTCTCCCCGGCTCTTGCTCGCCTCTCCCCGGCTCTCGCTCGCCTCTCCCCGCCTCTCCCCGGCTCTCGCTCGCCTCTCCCTGCCTCTCCCCGGCTCTCGCTCGCCTCTCCCTGCCTCTCGCTCGCCTCTCCCTGCCTCTCCCCGCCTCTCGCTCGCCTCTCCCTGCCTCTCCCCGGCTCTCGCTCGCCTCTCCCCGCCTCTCGCTCGGCTCTCCCTGCCTCTCCCCGGCTCTCGCTCGCCTCTCCCCGGCTCTCCCTGCCTCTCGCTCGCCTCTCGCTCGCCTCTCCCCGGCTCTCGCCCACCTCTCCCTGCCTCTCCCTCGCCTCTCCCTGCCTCTCCCCGGCTCTCGCTCGCCTCTCCCTGCCTCTCCCCGGCTCTCGCCCGCCTCTCCCTGCCTCTCCCTGCCTCTCCCTGCCTCTCGCTCGCCTCTCCCCGGCTCTCGCCCGCCTCTCCCCGGCTCTCGCCCGCCTCTCCCTGCCTCTCCCTCGCCTCTCCCTGCCTCTCCCCGGCTCTCGCCTGCCTCTCCCTGCCTCTCCCCGGCTCTCGCCCGCCTCTCCCTGCCTCTCGCTCGCCTCTCCCCGGCTCTCGCCCGCCTCTCCCTGCCTCTCCCTCGCCTCTCCCCGGCTCTCGCCCGCCTCTCCCTCGCCTCTCCCTGCCTCTCCCTGCCTCTCCCTCGCCTCTCCCTGCCTCTCGCTCGCCTCTCCCTGCCTCTCCCCGGCTCTCCCTGCCTCTCCCCGCCTCTCGCTCGCCTCTCCCTGCCTCTCCCCGGCTCTCGCTCGCCTCTCCCCGGCTCTCGCCCGCCTCTCCCTGCCTCTCCCTCGCCTCTCCCTGCCTCTCCCCGGCTCTCGCTCGCCTCTCCCCGGCTCTCGCCCGCCTCTCCCTGCCTCTCCCTCGCCTCTCCCTGCCTCTCCCCGGCTCTCGCTCGCCTCTCCCTGCCCCTCCCCGGCTCTCTCGCCCGCCTCTCCCTGCCTCTCGCTCGCCTCTCCCCGGCTCTCGCCCGCCTCTCCCTGCCTCTCCCCGGCTCTCGCCTGCCTCTCCCTGCCTCTCCCTGCCTCTCCCCGGCTCTCGCCCGCCTCTCCCTGCCTCTCGCTCGCCTCTCCCCGGCTCTCGCCCGCCTCTCCCTGCCTCTCCCTCGCCTCTCCCTGCCTCTCCCTGCCTCTCCCTCGCCTCTCCCTGCCTCTCGCTCGCCTCTCCCTGCCTCTCCCCGGCTCTCCCTGCCTCTCCCCGCCTCTCGCTCGCCTCTCCCTGCCTCTCCCCGGCTCTCGCTCGCCTCTCCCCGGCTCTCGCTCGCCTCTCCCTGCCTCTCCCTGCCTCTCGCTCGCCTCTCCCTCGCCTCTCCCCGGCTCTCGCTCGCCTCTCCCTGCCTCTCCCCGGCTCTCGCCCGCCTCTCCCTGCCTCTCCCTCGCCTCTCCCTCGCCTCTCCCTGCCTCTCGCTCGCCTCTCCCTGCCTCTCCCTGCCTCTCGCTCGCCTCTCCCTGCCTCTCCCCGGCTCTCCCTGCCTCTCCCCGCCTCTCGCTCGCCTCTCCCTGCCTCTCCCCGGCTCTCGCTCGCCTCTCCCTGCCTCTCCCCGGCTCTCGCCCGCCCGGAGCTGCCTTGCTCTGAGCCAGACTCATCGTCAGCCTGTTCTTATTTTAAATAAACTACGTTTACTACACAGCATGTGTACAATGGTTTTTGTTACTCAGAACGTTACTACTCATACAAATAATATTACTAATAACAATAATGACAATAAAACAGC